AGTACCAGGACAAGTAATATTGATTCCTGCTGGCAAATAATCCTTCTCATTACACTTTTCTTTTTTTTCTGAAATTTTTCCCAAAGAAAGATTTGTCGGGGTTAGCAGAGTAGACGTGGGCCTGTCCAAGACCTATTTACGTTCTTCTTCTTCTATATCATCAGTGCATGCATTTCCTTTAAAAACGGCACACGTCTCGTTCTGTTGGTGAGTTGATTTAGGGTATCCTGTGGCAAAAGGACCCTCCATGAAATTTTCTAGAGGCAACTGGTCTTCCCGACGAGATTTCTCATTACTTGTCACCTTTTCTGTTTGAGAACAATGTACATTTCCAGTCCTCGGAGATGTTACATTCTCCTGTTTGCTCTAAAGGTATTTTGGTGAAGAAGCAGTTACAGTTGTTCCCTTCTTTAAGAGTTCAGTTCCAGAAAAATGTTGCCTTTTAACTTCCTCGTCAACGTATGGTTTGAAGTTATACTCAATAGGAAACGAAATGTCTGCGCAGCTTCCAGCATCTGGAAATAACACAACAGAGGTATTTGAATTTATTTTGATCGATAAAGGTTTTCCCAATAACATTGTCAAAGTTAAATTAACTGCCCTATACACCTTCCAGGGAGATGCCGGTTGAAACAAGTCTTGCTTCATTCACTGCGCTGCCTGCTGTGTTGTGGCAATAAACAAGTACATAACACAAAAACGAAAAAAACTCATAATTCTGTGTATTTTGAAAACAAAATAAAAGAGATAACACTTAATGGTGAGTTAACCAAGTTAATTTTAATCAGTCAATTGAAGTTAACCGGTTTTACCGAAACATCGTGATGTGGCCGCTTTTTTGGCGTTTTATCGAACTGAAACTGGGCTTACGGTAACCACAGTAATTCATTGAAGAACAATAAATTTTACAACCGAGTTTGGTTAATGTTAAACTACCTTTCTGCGTAGTTAAACTCAAGTTAGTGGTCTCTTACCAGTGCCGTGCATTGTTCTTGTCGCAAAATGTGTAAGTCATCGCGGTGTGTGTGGGGAATGTTGTTTTACGTAGGAGAAATAAGTGCATAAGCTTATGAACATGGCGTCTGGTAAACAACAGCTACAACAAGAAGATACATTACTCAAGCGCAACAATCCGCTCGCCACATAATTCTCCATCGGTAAACTGCTGCTCCGAAACGAGAACATAAATATTGAAAGAATACGGCAAAGTGCTTGAAAGGACTCGATGTTTATACGAAAGGGCTCTCTACAAAAGTCACGCATAGCAGGATTAGTGCTTGCCTCAAGCCGTCACTGATTTCTCGGACAGATCCAATATCAGGGACGATTCAACCGACGGCAATGAAGAATACTCTGACATCTACGGCAAATGAACATCACGGTCGAAAGAACTGCCTTGGAAGTTTGCGTAGTGCGCATCGGAAGGAGGAGGGATTGCCTTATCCGTGAGGGGAGAGAAAGGGAACGAAAAGAAAGAAAGAAGCGAGAAAATAACAACGTGGTCCTCGAAGCCTGCATACTTTTGGTTTCCCCCCCCCCCCACTCCCCCCCCCATTTCATAGCCCATTTCAGTGCGGCCGTTCAAAAAATATATCCCCGTTGTTTCATCTTAACCAACCTTTCACCGAGTTAATATTTCTAGAAATTTTAACCAGGTTTCTGTAAAATACACTCATTTAACTATCTTAGTGCGGCCGCAGCCATTATTAATAATATAACAACCATTAAGGGTGGGGTAATTCCTCAAGCAATATCATTCATAGTCTATATAACGACAAGTACGAGGCTGAAACGTGCTCTTCAACTTCACTTACGTAGAGTACCTTAGTGGTATAGCACGCTCATATACCGCGTAACTAATCAGAGAGCAGTATGTTAAAGCTCGGGATAAAAATGGACCGATTAAAGGCCCATATTCGATTAAAGATAAATTTCAGAGTCTTTAATTTGTACAAGCATGAGAAGAAAGGGCCGAAACTAGTCGAGGAGCGTTCTTTCGTTTTTCACCTATTATGAACTTTTGAAGAAGAAGGGTTTTTAATTTAAGCTTAAAAAGGGGAAGTTTGAGAACTATAAGGACTTTCTGTTGAAGGACATTTTTAGACCAGAATTGAGATGACTGATTCCCTGAGAATTTTTCTTAGAAAGTTTTGAATGATTGCTGCAGGGTCATTTAAGTTCAATGACTGTGTGGAAGGTGAAATAAAAGCTGTATACTTGGTCAATTTCCTACTTAAACCTGTGAAATGTGTAACTGGTTTGTCTAAAGGCAGCCTATTTTCACAATGTTAATGCGCCGATGGGTTGGAGGCTTTAAACTCTCCCTTCCCCTGAACAACCCACGGGCATTTTACCGTCGTCCGTGCCCGGAGGGGTAGGGAATATGACCCTCGCTTTGGTGGGTGGGGCATTTAAACCGGAAGTGTTAAGGCTCACCAGCGTAGTACACGTGTTTTAATTCAGTAGTTTGAAATGAAAGAGTTTGCTATTGAGAGCAAATGGCTTAGAAAGACAATCTTCCTATCGTAGATTGATACTCAGAGTGAAAAGCCAAACAGCAGCACGAAAACCTGATACGTGTCGATACGTGACTTTGCCAAATTCTACAACATTCGTTGATCTCAGACTTACTTCAGCCTATAGGTTTGCATACTAGGAGGGTACTAGGGGATAACCGTTAGCGGGCGGTCAGACAAAGTATACGTAACGATTTCTCGCCTTACTTCATAATCGATATTCAGGGAAGTAGAATGACTTCAAGCTATTTATCGACGAGAGGACTTAAAATAGTTAAAATAATCGCCTGAATTTCGAGGTGTTTGCTGCAACTAGCAAAAACAAAAAACTCAAAGGCAGTCCATCTGGGTAGTCCATGTACTAGGGGTTAGTGTTTTGTTCATCACACGGAATATCACCTGAGGAAATTCTGCTGTACATGTGATACACACACGTGATGGTCGAGTGTTAGCTTGTGTTTCCTACTCTCATGAGCTCAAACTTATAATCAATTTTGCGTGTCAAAAGCATGTATATGTCTTTGGCAGATAATGTTGGGAAATACAAGCTTTTCAATACTATATACAGTACTACCGTAAAGCGGTATGTCAATAGGACGTTAATGACCAGACAACTCAGAAATAGTAAAGAAGCCATAAGACAGTGATAAAAAAACAAGCAGTGTAAAAGAAATGCATATTGTTGATTTTCACCAATATAACGACAAGTTTAATGAAGCATGAAGTATTCATAAGTCGACTATTATTGGCATAAAAATCAGAGGCAATGCCAGTTTTTCGATAAACGCGGCTATCCTGTTTCTGGCAAGCGGGCTACCACCGTGCCCAACTAATCGATCGACAGGCAGCACTACAAACGGCCGAGAAGGAGAACAACCGCATTCCATTTACTACATTCACCCTCACAACCACGCAGTTAAATCTATCATTCTTAAAAACTCTAAACGACTCCAAAACGATTCAGAGACTGACACTATCTTTTCCTATCCCCCATTATTTCATTCAAACGCCAAAAACATACGAAACTTGATAGTCGGAGTTCATTTCAAACCTATACCAATACTGGAACTTTTAAATGCGCTCGCTCACGATGCAAACTTGTCCTTTCATTCATAACGTAGAGAAAATTATCGGGACGGTCAAAAGATCCGTTAAGATCATTGATCACTTTACGTCGATATTCCGCCAATAATGACTTCAAGCATTTACTTGACACTTATTGCAATAAGTTAAAATAATCGGCGAAACAGGAAGACGACTGGGTTTACAACAATAAAATAAAAACAACCGATTCTAGAACACCTTCGCGATGTGGAAAGAAATGACAAGGAATATCCAAACCAGTCGCTAGAAACTTTAATCTTCCTTATCATTCACACACGTGATGGTCAGTTTGCGGTTTCCTTACATCTAGGCATGAAAGCTCAAACACTATAATCAATTTATATTCCAAAAGCATTATATGTCCACGGAATAACGTTGCGCTTTTCATTCAACTAATTTATTCAATTTTCTATACCACAGTCCCACCAATGGGTAGTCCATTCCTACGTTAAATGACAGACAACCCACAAATAGTCTAAAGCTCTACGAAGGGATAAAAAAACGCTCGAAAAGAAATGCATATTGTTGATTTTCACCAATATAACGACAAGTTTAATGAAGCATGAAGTATTCATAAGTCGACTATTATTGGCATATTTAGAGGAACACCTGTCCCACTCTGTACTAACTGTCGCACTCTGCAATAAAATTGTCGCACTTTGTCAGGACAGATCATCGTCCCTGTCAATAAAAAAAATAGTTCCGAAAAATGTCACTCACGGACAACACCTTAGTCAAAGCTTGCGAATACTTTCAGCTTGCTTCAAATTATATGTGTAAAGGTCGAAAAAAAAATTATATTTCATATTTGTAAATAAGCAAGCTTTTTAATTACCCAACTTTTAAAAACTCCCTGAGGTCTGCTATTGTCAGACGAAACCCGTAGGAGATTTTAAAAAAGTTTCCACTTTTTCGGTTCGCCCAGTGCCGCTAAATAGTTTATCATTAACTAAAAACTGTTAAAAAAGAAACCGAATTTTCGAACCGAAATGAATCGGACCGCTTTTAGAGAGACTGGTTTATCAGGCACATTCGCCTTCCGACCAGCTGTACCAAATTTATTTCAAAGTGCGAAAAGCGCTGTTACAAAGTGCGACAGCCCTATTAATACAATGTTCAAGTGTTACTGTATTACAAAGCGCGACAGTTATTTAATAGTGCGGCGATTATTTCAAAGTGCAAAACAACAGACCTCTATGCCAGCTTTGGTGCAGCCATTTGCAAGAAGAAAAAACAAAAAGAATAGCTGTTTGTAAAGTTTGTAAAAAACGTGCGAGAATAATTATGATATCCTGCTATTGTATTAATTAAGATTAGTGCCAGAATTCATTAATTAAACATAAAAGTTATGAAAACATATTGCTCTGAGAGAAGAGTTATTGAGCCATCTATCATATCAAACAAGAAACAAATCGAGAGACACGCAGAAAGTTGCTTTGTGTGATAAAGTACTCATAACTCGGCTATCTTTGGTGTTTAGCACAACCCACTCTAAATTTAAAGACACATTTCAGCAGAGGTAAATTAAGCTTAGTTGAGGTAGGGTAAGTAATCTCTTTTGCATTTATAAGATCATGTAACAAGTTTCTTTCCTTTCTTTGTTTGGGTTTCGGTGCGGAAGTATTAGAAAGTTGGTCTGGTTCGTTCATAAAAATTGACGACAAAATAAGTGCTGACGGTTACCAAAGGGGGTAACTCTTTCTAATGACGAAAAAAGAGAAGAAAGATTGGCCAATATAGAATTGCAGTTCATGTCTAGTGTGCGTACATCGGGGTATGGATTCATGATCACGCGGGGAAGTTTGGAGAGGAGGAGAAAAGCGAAATAGTCGCTCGAGGCGCAGCTGGGAACAATGTTATCTGCTTTAGTGCTCTATGACGTAGCTGACACAACTTGTGCACGAAAATAGCGTTTTATCCGAAATGTCGGTTTTACCATATATTATCTTGTTATCCGAAAAGTTGGTGCCACAAATAAAATGCAAGACAAAATGATTAAGAAATATTTCTTGACCAATTCGTTATTCAGACAAGAGCTAATTGATAGAAGAGAGAAGCGAGAGTTATTTATTCACTGACTCTATATTCTAATATTTTTCGAGCTATGTTATTTTCACGGCCAGCCTGGCGAAGCTCTTTCGCTCTTCTATCCAACACCTGCTTGGACGGTACGAAGTAAAATCTCTTTCCGGTACAATGGAACGGCTGTAGTCCTTGTTCTTCAAGGCGATTTAGCGATAATCATGATTTTAAGGCTTTCTAGGCCATATTCCATCTCATATTTGTTTCGGCGTAAAACCGCTCGAGTAAACTGTTCAGCCGGCTCTTAGTGTTCGATTTGTATAGGTAACAACAAGGTTTTAAACGCAATTTGGTGTTAATAAGCACAAGTCAATGGATTTTACTAGAAGCGGTAATGGAGAATAGAGAATATAGACTAGTTAATAGGGAATGGCAGACCTTTTAGTTTCAAGATGAAAAAAATAGTTATATTTTCATTTCAGTGTCTTTGATACATAACACTTTTGCTAAAAAGAGATTTAAAGTTACTTCTGAAAATTAAAGAAAAAACATCCTACATCCTGTACGCTTCGTGTGATGATGAATTCATAACTTGACTGTCATTGGTATTTAGGACCAGCACCTGTCGACATTGAGTACAACCCACTTGACATTTGGAGACATACTTCTGCCAAGGTAAATTGAGGCCGAAATTCGATATTTCTATTCCAAACATAAAATTTCATCGAACTTTAAGAAAATTGAAAACCTCGGTGCTGTCAGTACAGAAGTAAAGAAAACCAATATCTGACATCAAAACTCTTCCGGTTGTTTTAAATTACAACAACGACCAAACGCCAACCACTGCTTAAGGAAAAATCGTCGAAAAAAATAAACAAATAGATCACTTTTTTTAGCCTTTCAACGCAACCCAATGCAATAAGCGGAAACGGTAATCTTTTTTTAATAAAAATAATTTTTGAGGGCTGATTTTATGGGACCTGGACTGTGTCTCGGTTCATGAAAAAGCAGAAGAAGAACTCAGCCAACATCTAGCTTTCTTTACTCCACGCTTGTTTCAATAACGCATATAAAGTGCAGAGTCATTTCTTACTGCTGTTGATGATTAGTTTTTCGTAACTTAATTGAACAGAATCGAACACGTTCATGTGTTTAATGTTTATACGTTCAACTAGTGGAGACCAAAGGAAACTAGAACAAAACCTTTTTGGATTGATTTATCCTTCTAAGGTGTAAATTGAGGTATTAATTTGATTGAAAATCCGTAACTAAGTTTATCTTAGCATTGTTAACTGGGTTGATAGGTACTTTATCTGTGTGCAGGAATTGGCACCTACATTCACCTCAGAATGAATCCAAAGTTCTGGCTGGCAACCATGTTTCTGATGTCCCGGATTGGTGTACTCAATGCTAACAGGCGATGTCATGTAACTGAAAGCTCCATCAACGGAATGTACCTGAAAGGTCACGTGTTTAAAACGTATCGCGATCAGTTGCCTAAAGAGTGTTATTTCCGATGTGAAGAAGAAGTCACGTGTCAGAGTTACAATGTCGTCATTGGTCAAAACATCTGTGAATTGAACAACCGTACAAAGGAAGCAAGACCGGAAGATTTTATGCCGGATCAGAGGAGATTTTACATGAAGCGTTTTGGAAACAGAGGTACCCTTTATGTTCCCTCGACTAATTTTTTGCATTTGCATTTCTGGGCAAACTTGTTTTTTGAATTTTTCATTTACGATTTAAGAAACAAATATCAGAGAAAGAAAATTTATAGATTCAGATATATTCCTAAGGCGAGCCTTTTGATGATTCAATTTCGGGGATTGTTTCAATATTGGTAAAGCATTTCAAAATACAGAGACAAGTCCAAATAACAGAAACGACGTTTTGGAATCATCGTCTCATCAACGTCATCGTGGGACTTAATTATGAAGTCAAGCAACTCTTTTCCTTAGTCAACTTGAAAATGGTATAACGATGATATGGAAATGTTGGCCTGTTTCGCTGCGTTATTGTTGCTGTGTTCCATCTCACTTCTTAGTCTAGATCTGATGGAATTAGCACAGATTTATTTCTTTCTGCCTTTACGCAGGCAGGAAAGGTTGGAGGTTTACGTGTTCTCCTGACCCGATTTGTTTTTTTTAACTTAGCAAAGTAACTTCTCGTCGCAGTGTAAAAAGGGTAATTATAGTAAAAGAGGGGTTTGTTTTCATTAATTCCAATAGAACCGTAAACTCGGAGAAGAAGATTAATCAATGACATGAATTGTTCTTTCCCTTATACAAAATTTTTTTAATGGCGTATGGGAATAGATTGAAACAACTACTCAGATCACGACGTCAAAAAGGACAATGTTTTCACTTTTTTATCATTGAAATTTATCCTGCAAATGGCCGTTAGTTACTATTCGAAAATGCATTGGCCAACAGTAGCTATTTTTTTAAATACGGTTTAATTAACTTTCAAGACTATCTACCTATCCTATTAATATATCTTAGAGAGCTGGCAAAAGATAAATGGTGAAGAACCCGTCTGCTTTGAAGCCAGAGATAACCAATATGGTTCCTTCAATATGACAAAGCATGGACGAGTGAAGACAGTGAAGCTTATTCGCAGGTCAGGGTCGGTGCGCTGCAACAATGTTACTATTTCATCCTACTGGGGCTGCACCTGGCCAACATATGGAGAAAATTTGATGACAATCATCACAGATGCCAATAAGGAGGCCATTCTGCCCCCTGCCGAAGACTTGAAAGCTTTTAAAGCTCGTTTTGATAACAAAGAACACTTTTACAGTCTTCCTGGATATCACCATAACTCAACTGAGCTCGTTTTTCGCAACCTCGTCAATCCATTGTCTGTCTCGAGCAACCAAGAGATGCAGATATGGTACGGACAGGATTGGATGGACCGCGGAGAGGAAGACAACAGCGGTAAAACTTGTGTTGATGTGTACGCATGGTATGAGTGAGTCTGCCCATTGGAGATCTTGCCTTCGATAGCTCTAAAACGTAGAAGAAAAACATTAGATTATAAAAGAACGCCATTCATGTACGAGATCCCGGGTAACACTTTTAGGAAGACAAACCTGTTTCAATGTTTAAGGACTGCTATGTCTTCTTTCTATACCCGACAGAAAAGAGAAAGACCGTAGGGATCAGAATAATTTTTATTAAAATGTCGCTGAAGATCACGGAGGAAGACCTAATATTTTTCAGTTAATTAGTTTTACTCAGGTTTGCTCAGCATGGTACACCGCACTAGGTAGTAAGGTACACTCCCTCAGTATTCATAGTCGAGTGCAATTTTAACTGCATGGGTGAGAAGGTTTAATTTCAATAAATTCTTACACATAAGTGGTTATTTATAATGGATTTCGAACTCAAGCTCGATTTCAAAAGAGGAAAAACTGGAAGCGAAATAAAACTTAACAATTGCGGAAGGCAAAAGAAAGGAACGAACACAAAACAAAAAGTACACCCTTCCGAAAAGTACTCTCCCCAGTTCCGTGAATCAAGTCTATTTTTCATCATAACATCCAGGACCTGTGATCCTTCCTAAAACTCCCTTAAATAATTCTTGGATAATCGACGCCAGGAAAAAACCTTAACTGAGGGCACTTGACTAAATCAGTTCTATCCAGATGTTTTTTTTAATTAGTGAAATGATGTACATTTTCAAAAGTTATCAATGAGGAAAATTTATCTGCGTATACATTTTTATAAAAGTATAGGGCTGAGTAGAGTTTAAGGCAGTTTGTAACTATACGATTGAACAACAAAATCTGACAATCGCGAAGCTGGAGTAAGAGATGTTAATCACAAACAAAATTGTTCGACCCAGTTTCTTGTTACCAATTCATGAAGACTATCACATCCTCATCAGTTACATTCATTCAAAACTGACAATTTAACAATGTACCATATTTGAATGAACTTAACGTTTACAAATGAGGCAAAATATGCTAAACATGATGTGTAAACTGCCCTTTTTACACATTTGTGATGACATGCAAACTTTCCCATCGCTGTTTGTGCTCGAGTCAGGATGCTGATGATCAAACAACCTCCTCAAATTTGTTATGGTTTTGATTACACACGGAATGCGAGGACACAAATCCGTCAGCGGTTAACTTAACTCGACCAAATATGAAACAAAAGATGAACATCATGGAAAAATCAACGGTCGCTTGAAAGGGTAATTTAGAATTATCAAACTAAGTTGATAACTGACTGTGAATATGTGCATATAAACCCGCTTACAACCCACAACTCCTCTAATCGTTCTGACGAGGGGGAAAGTATGCCGAGTCGGGATGCCCACGGATCTCCACGGTATCAAAAAGCGCTTTTCATTCAACTAATTTATTCTTTTAGAATAAGAGAGTTTGTAAATTTTGAGCTCGGTAAAGGTATAGAGAAATGGTATTTCTGACGAATGAGTCTGCGAATAAGGCAGAAACAAATATTTTGTCGGCACGAGATACGACAAGGCCTGGGCCTTAGGCCCGAGCATCATGGGTAATGATGCAGTGGTATATAAGGGAAAGTATAGCACGTGGTGTCCATCTAGGCCTCAGAACCAACCGTTCACCTCTGGCTGATGACAAATTCAGTGGCCTCTTGGAGCAGACCGTTTCTCAGATCAAACGGTCGAACGAAGAATCGGCGGAAAGTCAGATGAAGGAGACCAAGCGCCTCAAATTCAACGAGTCTCTTAAGAAAAACAAAGTGACTAGAGGACCGCTACAACTCAGGTGTAGTTCTTTCCTTTGTTAATATCGAAGCTAGTAGTTTGCCTTCGCAATCGGAATAAGGCAGTGCCATTGACTCGGATCCTAGCGTTGCCGCTTGCGCTGATTCTTTCCTGTTAGATTCCTTCGGATTCAGGCTCTCTTGCAGTTGATTTGACCTATTCTTCTGTGCGTGGAGGGCTTAGAAAATTTCTGGATTTTTGACGTACTTTGGAAGTTTCGCAATTTGTCCTAAATGTTATTATGCAGGGTTACAAAATTCCCTTCCTCCAACTTCCAACACCTTTTGCTAAGAGAAACAATACTTCTGCTCGTGAGAATAGTGATTTTGTTTCGCAAGCTGTCAGCGATTTACTTCGTTTGGACCTAATTGCATAACTTGCTTGTAAGCTCGATATCATTAACCTACTTTCAGTTTGTACCCGTAGTTCGGGAAAGCAAAGGCTCGTTTTGAATCTTCGACATGTCAACCAGTTAATATACGAGCAGATGTTCAAATGTGAAGATCTGGGTGTCGTTACGCAGTTGTTTTGATCGTAATTATTACTTGTTTAAATTTGACCTTCAGTCTGGTTATCACCACATTGAAACTTTTCCCAGACCACAGAAAATTTCTCGCTTTTGCTTGGGATTTTGGGAACGGGGTTTCAAGATATTTTCAGTTCTGAAAATTTTCAGAGCTCATAGAGCCTCTGTGCTTCCTTTCGGGTTTTCTTCAGCCCCGTATGTTTTCACATCGATTTTTAAGCCATTACAGAAATCGTGGAGGAGCCAGGGCATCCCGATAGCTATTTTCCTCGACGATGGTTTAGGAGGGGGAACAGATTTTGTTTCTGCTAAAGTTAACAGTTTAGTCGTCCATTCAGATTTGCTCAAGTCTGGATTTGATCCTAATGGGGAAAGTCCCTTTGGGAGCCTCTCCTAGTTATCACCTGGTTGGGTGCGATTCTCGACACTATTGATGGGACTATACAAGCAACCGACGAACGTATTGAAAAGTTAAACGCTGGCCTTGTTGAGCTACTGTCTTGTCAACCTCCCTGGAAAGTGCACGTGAAGGGAGACGCCATTGTAACGGGTCAAATAATTTCCCCCTCTCCCTGTGTGGGTTCCTTCGCCCGTATTATGACTAGATTTCTTTTCTTGGTCGTGAATTCGGCGCGCTCTTGGGAAAGCGAAGATTTTCTCTCAGACGACTCTCTTTCAGAAATTAGTTTCTGGAAGAACAACTTGGTATTCTTCAATAGCAAGGTTTGTTCGTCGGTCCAGTCCCTTCCGGTCAGGGTCACCTTTTCAGATGCCCCCAATTCGGCTTGTGGTGCTTTCGTAAAAGAATCAAATATAGTATTTTATCAGAACTGGTCTCCTGTAGTGCGTGCCTAAAGTTCTACATGGAGAGAAGTCAAAGCTGTTTGCCTCGCCTTGGAAGCTTTCGCGAGTCATCTTTCTGGTGTTAAGGTTATTTGGTATTCCGATAACCAGAACGTCGAATCTATTCTTCAAAACAGTAGTAGGGTAGCTGACATGCACTAATTGGCCCTCCTAGTTATCCAAATATGTCTTGAGTTTCACATATCACTTGAGGCTAAGTGGATCCCTTGGGAGCTTAACGCTAAGGCTGACGCAATAAGCAATTTAACCGATTATGATGACTATACCATTAACGAAGCTATCTTTCAAAGAATTAACCTATTTTGGGGCCCCACACCGTTGACAGATTTGCTTGTTCCTATAACGCTAAGGTACCAAGATTTAACTCTGAGATTTTTTCAGACTGGCTGTGTAGTAGTAGATGTTCTCGCCCAAGATTGGGGGCACGATAATGATTGGATTTGTCCTCCAGTGTGCCTATTAATTAGAGTGGTAAAGCAGATGGAATTGTGTAAGGTGAGAGGAGCGGTTATCCTCCCCTTGTGGAAGTCCTCTTGCTTCTGGACTTTATTTTGTAGAGACGGTGTGCAACGGAACAGTTTCGTAATTGACTGGGTGTTTTTACCCAAGTTCCCAGGTCTCTTTATCAGAGGGAAAGCCCGAAACTCGCTTTTCGGTTCCAGACCCCTTTGATGCTATAGCCCTTCGAATTGATTTCGCCGCCCCAGATCTCCCTGTGCTTGCGTAGGCTTCTGTACGAAGTTCAGTAAAGACTGTGATCGTTGTAATTAGCCCGGCGGGCTTTTGTATTCACCGCGGAAGTTTTCTCTTCTGGGTGCAAATGTGATTTTGTTTCAGTCAATCCCAGCGTAATTGCTCTAAGTCCTTTGTACTTAGCTTATGGGTTGTTTGGCACTTACTCAGGCTTGAAGTGAAAAATCATAGAATTGCTCGTCAATATTGCGTATTGCGTTATGACACGAGTTTGTGTCACGAATTTATTCAGCATTGTTTGAAATTAAAGGGACCCATTTGTGATCCACTTTGCAGATTCCAGTTGTCTATGTATTCTCTGTTGGAGTTTGATTATTCCCGGTTATTCTATTTTTATTTATCTATTTCTTTAGTTATTTCTTGTTGGATTGTACTCCTCACTTTGCCTTATTTTATCTCTCGTTTAGATATTTTTCATTCGGGATTTAGGGCATTCCGGGACGGACCGCTTGACAACTTGCTTGAGGGACTGAAAGATCGACTGAAGACGACTGTACTCTCTTCCAAAGCAAATGGGACTGTTATGGTATACAACCGAGCTTTCCGCGGATGGAATCAGTTTGCAAACGATAAGTTAAACGGGAAAGCCTTTCCCGCTAGCCCTTTTCATGTGGCTTTGTATTTACAACATCTTCTAGAAGAAACCCACTCCCCTAGCGTCTACTAGTGGAAACCCACTCCCCTAACGCGGTCGATTCTGCTTTCTATGGCTTAAAATGGGCCTGTGACTTGGCAGGAATCCCCTCCCCAACTGATGACCCAATTTGCTGAAGCCGTGAGGACGACGTCCAAAAGAGTTCTTGGTACCAGTGTCCTTAGTCGTAAAGAACCTATTTCGGCCCTTTTAATCCACGACATTATTAACAAATCAGACTTAGATAACCTTGTAAAGTTGCGTAATGTTACCATGTATGTTTTATCTTTTGCCGGTTTCTTTAGGTTTGACGATGTGTCTAGAATAAGAAGAAGTGATATTTCCTTTAAAGAATGCTTCATGATTATTAAGGTTTTGAAAAGCAAGAATGACTAGCTCCGTAAAGGCGACGAAGTCGTTATCTTACAATTGTCTAGTTCTGTATGCCCCGTTGAGTTGCTTAAGAGGTGTTTAGTTATGTTTAAGATACCCCCTGATTCCAAAGATTTTATTTCAAGCCTATTTCTAAAGGGAAGGGCTCTTGCAAGCTTGTTGCCCCTGATAAGCCCATTAGTTACTCTACTATTAGAGGGGCTTTTCGCTGGGACCTGCAAAGTCTCGGAGTTGAACCGTCCAAGTTGGGTTTGCATTCTCTAAGATCTGGAGAAGCCATTACGATAGCAAATAATGGAGTAAACGATAGAGTTTTCCAACGATATGGTTGTTGGAAATCGGTACAAGCCAAAGACACATACGTAGACGATAATTTTGAACAATGACTCGAAGTATCGCGTTTTCTTGGGCTCTGAAGGCGTTTTCGTGTTCTTTTTGGTGGTATTATATCACCTAGCCTCGTGCGTCTTGCCCAATTCTTTGTCAGTCTATATATGCCTCGGGTTGGTTCTCGGCAGGCTTCCCTAAATAAACTTATTTGGTGTACACTACTGTGTTATTTGTTGTGTAGTGGAGACAAAATATGGTATTTCTGACGAATGAGTCTGCGAATAAGGCAGAAATAAATATTTTGTCGGCACGAGATACGACAAGGCCTAGGCCTTAGGATCGAGCATCATGGGTAATGATGCAGTGGTATATAAGGGAAAGTATAGCACGTGGTGTCCATCTAGGCCTCAGAACCAACCGTTCACCTCTGGCTGATGACAAATTTATTTTAGTTTGAAAACATATTTTCTTTAGCTGTGAAGCCTCGTAGGATGGGCTGCCAACTGCTCTGAGTTTGGGCCATGGTTCCTACCCAGATTTCCTGTCATGTTTTTTCCCCAAAGGGGTTTTTTCTGGCAGGTTTTTTCTGGCCTCTGTATAACCGTAGTTATGTCCTTGTAAGCGGTTGCCCATCTCTGTTAATCCAGACTTGGTGAAGTTTGCATGTTAGTAATGTATACCTTTTTTTTTTAATGTGTAAGGAATTGACTGTATATCAGGATTGTATATGGTATATCAGTTGCGAATATATGTATGTATGCATGCCCCGGGCTATATATGCCTCGGGTTGGTTCTCGGCAGGCTTCCCTAAATAAACTTATTTGGTGTACACTACTGTGTTATTTGTTGTGTAGTGGAGACATTGATAGCGTCAAGTTTTAGAATAAGAAAAGCTAATCCTAGCAGTATGCAGGACGCGTAACAGACCTCGCTCACCCCCTCCACCTTTACGAAAGCCCGACAATGGTAATCAGGTATGTTCATCAGTGAATGAAGAATTTATCCTAGAAACACCCAACTAAGGGTCTTGTTGCACCACCCACGATCACGAACAGCCTTTAGGTACACATACACATTTGCCAGATGAAGCCCATTTAAGGGTTCATGACATTGTGTCCTCGAGAAAATTTATGCGCCTAATTTTTGGGAGTCGAGTGCATCTCTGAGGCAGCTCACGCTCTAATTGAATCAGAGCGTGATTACTTGTTACAAAGTGGAGAAATGTGTGAGAAGCGAGGAAAAGTTACGGCCCACTGTGGAATGTTATTTAAAGTATGAAAATGGGAAATAGCCAGCCAACTTAAGAGGACATGGGCTATAGAACATTGAACCTGAGAAAAAACAGAAAATTATGAAATATTTGTTTTATCACTTAAAACCAAAACCACGAGTTAATGATCTCTCCTGCAATCTGTTCTTAGTAGACCTTCGTAATGTATCATAACGAATGTCAAGTCGGGTACAAGTAGATCAGTATTTTGACGTAATTAGCATTATGTTAGTCGTTTTTGATGAGTTTCCTAGTTTCAATTCGGAATAACATTATTTGATACCAGAAACCCTGTCGTCTAATTTTCTGACCGGTGTTCTCAGTTTGGAAGACAAGGAAAAAAGTTGCAGCAACTGTTCTAGAGAACAGAAATGTAGTTCTTGCGATAGAGCATAGGAAAGGAATGAACGACAGAGAAAAACATATTTACTGGTCTTCATTCCAATTCCTTTAACTTTGTCCCTTTCCTCAATGGAGAGCGAATCCTTTAACACGCCGCCGTAAGGTTCTGAAGGTACTTAATGCCGTGACGATTGATCTACGCATAGTTAGACGAATATTTTACATACATCTGAATTAAGAGCTCAATAGCAGATGACGTAATAAAGAACTCCACCACACAATCCACAAAGTCACTTTAAATCTACTTTTAAAAATCTTTTACTATATTTTTATACTCTCACAGGTATCAAATCACAAAGCTAAAAATATCAGAAACTCCTTTGTCCATCCTCACCAAGTAACATCACCTCCTACGATAAAATAAAAAAAAACAATTAAAAAACAAACAGAAAAAGAGAAAATGCTTAAAAAAAGTTAATTCAAAATTCAGACGTATGGCGCTCGAAAGAAGCAATGTCTCAACATTTTCAATCGCCTAAGAGTTGCAGACGATGTTGGCTTTCTATAATGACGATGTTCTCAATGTCTTGATTGTAGTTATGTCATAGTCACTCGGCAAAAAGTGAGATGATCTGAGGGATTATAAGGAACCAGACTTTAATGAGGGTTGGAAAGATTAGTTGCCTTGTTTCTTGGGGCAAAAGGAATGAAATAAGGCAAAAAATGTTGAAAATCATAACTTCTTTATTCCCCGCTAAAAGTAAACTACAGCTACGAAGTACTCTAGTATTATCAACTGAGTTGATGACGTAAATTGGCCATCGCAGAGAGTTCCAAAGCTGACGTTTCGAGCCAACAGAGAGAATTGGCTGATTTTCATTCCCATAAAAAGGTAAATACTTACATCATTCTCATATGTTCCAGAGAATGCGGCTTTTCCAAAGTCCTGCTTTGGTTTTTCTTCTGATTCCTGTTTGGCAAAACCAAGAGATTAAGACAACTTGCTGACAAGCTGATTGACAAACTGAACGAATAAAAGACCAACCGACCGACTGCCTGCCTGATTGAGTCACTGACTGACTGAATGACCAAGAGACCGACCGACTCACTCACTGACTAACTGATTGTTAAGTTCTGATTGATCAATACTCCAGCATCTTGGTGATTTTTCTTTTCGCTTATGGAGGCGTGCCTTGGGAGCCAACTGACCAGCCGATTAACCATCTCGCGCACTACATGTAGCTGGATGATTTACTGACTTACTGATTTGTTTGCTGGGTGCCTGCCATTCAGGCTGATTGACTGAAAAACTAATTGATTGACTGACTGAGTGAATAGCTAACACATTGACTGTCTGACCGTTCAACTCAAACATACCTGCGTGAGTGAAGTACTGAACAACTGGCTAACCAGTTGACTGCTTGCTTGACTGTCTAGCCGAAAATTTTACTTCCGAGCCAGCTGCGTACCTGCCTCTTTGCCTGACTGATTGAACTACTGACTAGTCTCCACTGACAAGCTACATGTGATTGGTTGGTACATGAAAATGTAGATCAACTGCCTTCCTGCCTGCCTAACTGATTGACTGGTCGCCACAACCTAGCTACATGTCATTGATTGATACATGAAAAAGTAGATCAACTGCCAAATTAAGGAGCATGGACATCAACCGGAAATCTCTTCCATATAAACGCACGCGCATTTAGAAAAAAAATTTAAAAAATTTAAAAAAATGCGTATACACGTCACGAACCTTTCCCACTCTCAAATTCGCTCGAAGATTTACATCTGTCACAGTTGCTCTTCCCGCCCACCACACCAGAGGAAGAATTGCCCACATCAAATCCTAGTTTTCCAGGAATATTAAATCTGTTGTGATGCTCGAGTAAGTTTGTGCTTCTAAAGTTCTTGACCCCATATGAAGAAAGTTCAAGAGACTTTTGGCGGCTTCCCTCTTCTAAATAAGTGTCTTTAAAGACATCGCTTTTGTGCTTAGACCAGGAGCTTTTGTTATTTACGAGTCTCGCTGAAGGTCTTTCGAACGCATTATCAGGACAAGTAATATAGGTTCCTGCTGACAAATAATCCTTCTCATGACACTTTACTTTTTTTTCTGAAATTTTTTCCAGAAAGAAAGATTTGTCGCCGTCAGGAGAGTAGAGGTGAGCCTGTCCGTGACCTGTTTACGTTCTTCTTCTATATCATCAGTGCATGCATTACTTTTAAAAACGGCACACGTCTCGTTCTGTTGGTGAGTTGATTTAGGGTAACCTGTGGCAAGAGGACCTTCCATGGCATAACAACTGGTCTTCCCGATGAGATTCCTCAGTAATTGTCACCTTTTCTGTTTGAGAACAATGTAGATTTCCAGTCCTCACAGATGTTGCATTCTCCGGTTTGCTCTGAAAGTGGTTGGTGAAGAAGCAGTTACAGTAGTTCCCTTCTTTAAGAGTTCAGTTCCAGAAAAATGCTGCCTTTTAACTTCCTCGTCAACGTATGGTTTGAAGTTATACTCAGTAGGAAACAAAATGTCTGCGCAGCTTCCAGCATCTAGAAATAACACAACAGAGGTATTTGAATTTATTTTGATTTATAAAGGTTTTCTTAATACCTTAATCAAACTTACAATTAACTGCCCTACACCTTCCAGGGAGATGCCGGATGAAACAAGTCTTGCTTCATTCACTGCGCTGCCCGCTGTGTTGTGGCAATAAACAAGTTCATAACACAAAAACGAAAAAACTCAAAGTTCTGTGTATTTTGAACAGAAAAATAAAAAAGAGATAACACTTAATAACGAGTTAATCGGGTTATTTCTAATCTGTCAATAAGGGAATAACATGACTTTTTGAGGGAATATTGTTTATTTGCGCCCGCGTAGTGTCGAGGGCGAGGGCCGCCGCAAATGACACTACAAGGGCGCAAATAAACAATATTCCCGAAAAAAGTCAAGAATGCGAGTTTTAATAATACAAGCTAAGTGAATGACGAATTCAAAGTCACTTCAAATCATCATGTAAGTGTTGATTGAACAAGCTATTAAAGAATCAACTCAGTCCAGTGAACTTATCGAAAATTACCGAAAAAATGCTTAAAATCGTCTGTAAATAATAGGCATATCACAAAGTTAACCTTATTATTTATTTTCCGCCTGACCTTTTGCTTCTAATTTGTCCAAATCTTCTAGCCCCAAATCTGAGTTTTGACTGCTAATTTCTTCCATTACTTCAATTTTCGCTCGAAGACGATTCGACGACTGAAAAAACTGCAGTTCAAAACCGGAGTTTCGCAAATGAATGGTTTTCCCGCGTCAACACTAGGCTTTCTCTAATTGGTTAAAATCCATCGGATGATGAAGCAAGAACCAATCAGCTGTAGGGCTGATAATGCATTAGCAGCTCACTGTCAGTCTTTTGCGGCCCGCTGAGCGTGTGTTTTGAAGAGGCCGATTTTCTATTTGGCCGCGTATATTGATAATAATTGAAAACCGAAAAATCGTGATGAGACCGCTTTTTTGGCGTTTTATCGAACTGAAACTGGGTTAACAGTAACCATAGAAATTCACTGAAGAACACTAAATTTTGTAACCGAGTTTGTTCAATGTTAAACTACCTTTCTGCGTAGTTAAACTCAGGTTAGTGGTCTCTTACCAGTGCCGTGCATTGTTCTTGTCACAAAATGTTTCAGTCATCGCGGTGTGTGTGGGGAACGTTGTTTTACGTAGCACAAATAAGTGCATAAGCTTCTGAACATGGCGTCCGGTAAACAACAGCCACAACAAGATACCTTATTTAAGCGCAACAATCCATATAATTCTCTATCGGTAAACAGCCGCTCAGAAGCGAGAGTCATAAACATAAATAGTGACAGAATACGGCTGAGTGCTTGAAAGGACTCGATGATTATACGAAAGGGCTCTCCACAAAAGCCACACATGGCAGGATTAGTGCTTTCCTCAAGCTATCGCTGATTTATCGGAAAGACCTAATATCAGGGAAGATTCAATCGACAGCGATGAAGAATAATGTAATTTGTGTAAATAAGAATTAACATCAATGATTATTTTGCCGGCACGGAACGGTGAACTGGGTTCTGGTGTAGCGCGCGGGGGAGCGCGGTAAGGGGGTTTGAAATAGTGACCGGTTAGTTATGCGTGTCATTCTACGGTCGGCCTCACCGCATCATCTTTCTCTGTTTAGTTTAGTTTTCACTAACTCTGTTAGCCTTAGTTTTCATTAGTTTTGCCTTATAACCCCAAAGGCGACGTCATGGCATGGGTTGGGGTTACACGGTCCCTATTTTTCCAATATTTGTTTTTTTCGGGTTTACGTGTCCGGCCGTGGCGTGTTCTTAGAATTACTGTAAATAAGGTAGTTTAAGTTTATTTCGAAACAACTACTTGCAGCAATTGGTGCTGAATTGCGAGTTGTTGTAAGGTTGAGATCGGACGTCAGCATTTTATCAGGCGCCTCTGGCAGCCGCTTCAGTCCATGTAACGATCTCACCCATCCCACCCCAGGGGAGGACATCCATCACACAGTAATCTCGTGCGTGGAAAATTAACGTCAGGAGAGAGGACCTACGGTTTTACGTCCTATCCGAGAAGACGGTGGAGTTTTTACACGTGAGTTAATAAAACGTATCAAGGGCCTGGCTGACCGACGCGCCCATGCCTCCAAGTGTTGTTTTGTGTGTTCGGTTGTGTAGTGGGGGCAAAATCTCAGACATCTACGCAAAATCAACATCACGGTCGGAAGAACTGCCTTGGAAATTTGCGTAGTGCGCATCGGAAGTTCACCCTCTTCATAGCCCATTTCAGAGCGGCCGATCAAAAATTTATCCCCGTTGTTTCATCTTAACCAATTTCATCTTAACCAATTTTCTGATTTTTCGGAAAAATTAGAGTCGTCACTACATAAACGACGAAGTACTAGAAACTGTATATGTAAAAAAGGTGATTCCTATGTAAAAAGTAAATTTCTTGCTCAGAAGTTCATTTCATGGCGACGGCATAGGGCTAATTTGCATTTATGTAGTTCAATGGAAGGCAAGAACAAACCTGTTTTCTTATCTCCTTGTTGAGGCAATAAATTTCCGAATAGTCCATGAGCCAAGGGGCCTAAACGTTATGCCTCGTAGCACCCCCCATGGGACATAGTTAATTTGATATCAAATTAAAGCTTATGACCTATATTTTTAGAATCTACCTGTTTTCAAATCGGTAACGTGCGCTGTAATGAGATATTGGGCTGTTTCCATGGGGGATGGGGTGAGGAGAGTTTGCTTACTATAGACGTGGTGATAAGATAAATGGTCCATGCCTCTAACAAACATCAACCAAATTGGTTCAAATTTGCAAGATATAGTTGTTGTATCATAAGCTACCCAAATGAGTTATCGGACCTAAGGTTTTTGTTTCCATGGCAACAGGCACCAGTCAAATACTGCTCGGATATGAAAATGTGTGATTTTTCGAATAAAAAATGAAATTTTATACATTTAACTCGAGAAAACACCCATAAAAGTATTCTACAGTAAGAGCGTTTGCTCTGAGACACCTTAATTCTATTGAAGATGTCCCAAAGATGCATCAATGTCTGGAAAATGGCTATGGCAGGAAAGCAAGGATGAGTGGCATTCCTCTGGAATTGGGGCCACACCTGGTAAAAGCCAAGCAAATACAAAAA